GCGGGCGGCGGCGGCGGGACCCGGGGAGCCGCTTTGTGTGCAGCCCGACGAGGGGCGGCGGCGCAACCACCTGACAGAGGCCCGGGCGTTGGATGCACCTTCTGCCCGCATGAGGAGGAGGTAAAGGCGGCAGCAGCTCGGCTCCCGCCCTCGGCTGGTGGAGGGAGGGGACGGAAGGGGAGACCGCAAAGGGGGGGTGCGGGTCCAAGGCCCGGTGGGGCTGCTTAGAGGTGCCGGTAAGGCCTCGGCGGTGCCGGGCGGCGCCGAGTGGCCGGGGGCGAAGGAAGCCGCCGGGATCCCTCAGCCGAAGTTGAAGGAACAAAATGTGAAGTGCGGAGCCGCGTCAGCCGCTTCCTGGCATGGGGCTGGGTGGAGGGCGGCTTGTTTTCCCCTCCCGCGGGGGTGGGGAGCGGGACAGGGGAGGGGCGGGAGCGCGGCGGGGACTGCCGGGGGTCCCGAAGCTCGGCCGGGCAAGGTCGTTTTGTTCCTGAGAGCCGCCTCTGCGTGTGGGTCCGCTTGGGTCCCTAGTTTTGCGGCCTAAGCCGATCCCTACAGGCCTCGCGTTTCCTTTCCCAGAGGGGACCGGCTGTGCGGGGACCCGGTTCTTCTTTCTGGCCTAGCGGGGTCCTTAGGGTCCTTGGCAGCCTCCCGAGGCCGCCAAACTTCGGACCTTGATGCTCAGGGGTGGATTTCATTGTGAAAGGTGGAATGGGAAACTCCTGGCGCTGCTCGGCGCCTCCCGCGGCCGCGGCGGCTAGTGCCGGGGAGTACCGTGGGCCTGGGGCTGTCGGGGCCTGCGCGGGTGGGGACGGCGGGTGGCCGGTGGAGTCCGAGCCTTGGGAAGGGGTGGGTGGCGGGGCCGCTGCTGGATCCCCGGCCTCCGGGGAGGAAGGGCCCTTTCCAGATTAGAGATTTTTGAAATGAAAAAAGAGGTTACAAAGTCGCCCCTTTGCCGCTGAACTTTGGTTTTCTGACCGATAGAGGCCGGTAGAGGACTGTGAAAGAAAAGTTGTCCCCCAGGATGGACTTCTCCACCGCGCAGCCCAAGCCTGCCACTGCCCTCTGTGGCGTCGTGAGTGCCGACGGGAAGATCGCTTACCCTCCAGGGGTAAAGGAGATCACCGACAAGATCACCACCGACGAAATGATCAAACGACTGAAGGTAAACTTCATGTTGGTCAGTTTCTTGCATTCTGGACAGATTGTTCGAACTTCACGTCTCTGGTAGGAAGTGCTTTCTCCTGGACCAACTGCTCGGCCTGGCCTTTAGAATTTCACTTATTAGCAAGAATTTTAGGTCTTCTCCTTTATCCCCTTTGAAAGGTATTGTTCTATTTTGGATACATCTTCGAATAAATTCTGTAGGGACATATTCATTGTGCGAAATTAAAAGGAGTGTGGTTTATTTTCAGTTTTGCTGTTTTTAATGCATAGGAATTCATTTGTCTTTACCGTTTTTCTGGAAATATTTAATGAGAATACTATTTTTTTTTTTTTTTTTTTTTTTTTTTTCTTTTTCCGTGTCCGGCAACGGATCGCAACCCTCAGTGTTGCCCCCGCACCGGGCCGGGGACCGGCAACGGGATCGCAACCCTCGGCGTTGCTCCCGCGCCTCGCTCAGCCAGTGAGCGGGAACGGGTCTGTATGTGGGATCCGAACCCTCGGGCGGGAGCGCCGCCGCGCTTCCCAAGCGGCGCACTATCCAGTGCGCCACCGGGCCGGCCCCTTAATGAGAATACTATTCAAAGTACCTTGCAACCTTAAATGTAGGGAATAATTTGCCTAGGAAGGTTCCTATTTTCGTCAGCCTCTGAGAGGACTGATTTAAGCACAAAAGACTTTTTTTTTAAGTCATAGTTTTCTTTTTTCTATTTTTTTTTTTTTTAAGATGATCAGTAAGGGGATCTTAACCCTTGACTTGGTGTTATCAGTACCACACTCTCCCAAGTGAGCCATGGGCTGGCCCTAAAAGTCACAGTTTTCTAATATCCAGAAGCTTGAATATGTATATAGTGGGGTTAAACTTTGACAGAAGGAACTGACTTTTCAAAATTCAGACTTGAAGTAAGGTGATGATTTAAGTCTATATGTTCAAAGAAAGTATTATGGCTCTTTTCATAAAGCATCACCTTATTGGTCCTAAGTTTAAAGTGGTAAGTTACAACTTTGTTGGTAAGTTTCTTGCTTTTTTCCCTGGACATATATATTGTGGCTAGAGCCTTACCAAATAAGTGCCATTCTTGTTAGGGGATCAGCTTGAAGCAGTAGTTCTCAATCAGGGCAGCTCTGACCCCCAGGGGATGTTTGGCAATGCTGGAGACATTTTGGTTATCACAATTGGGGTTAGACTGGAGTAGGAAAAGACCAGAGAGGATGAGTCCTGCTAGGAAACTGTTAAAGGTTGTCTAGGTGAAAGATTTTGAAATCTTGAAGTAGGGCTATGACAGTGGGAATAGGAGTGATCAAGAGACATTTCAGAGAATCAGACAGTCCTGGTGGGAGGTGAGGGAAGAAACAATGCTGCTGATGTTTCTACCGTGGGCAATTTAGTGAAATGAGTTTTTAACGAATGATCTTGGTCCTTTACTCTTACAGCTTAGTATAGTGCCTAGTAAATGTGTACATGTCATATTTTAGCGAATATAGTATTCAAAGTATTCCTGTAGTTTAGTGTCAAAATGTAATTAGATTCTCTAATTTGTTGCCTCTTTGGAAGGAATAAAACACAGTTCCTTTCATTGAAACAAATCATAATACTAAAGATTATACATGAATTGAGGTCCTTAATTGATGCTTCTTAAAGTTATAGAGTGTTTAGAGAGTCTGAAAAAATTATGAAATATAAAGCTGTTAAGTAAGAAATATTATGGATCTTTAATTTTCATTGTTTTCAAATTATGGTGGTAGATAATTTGGTTAAAAAACAGGAAAGTTATGACTATTTGTATACATTTTCCACTTGAAAATTGAATATCAGAAGTACTGTTAAACATAAATGGACATATAACCAAGTGTAGCATGAACATGGGTTAGAATATCCATTTGTTATGAGTTCTTCTGGAAGTTAAAATTGACATACATATTAACCTATTTGAGTGTCCTACTGCTAACCCTTGCTTTTCTGAAAAATTATTTTGATTTTGTATTTCTCCTGCCTTTTGTCTGTTTTGACTTTATTCTTTTTAGAGATCTCTGTCTAAAGAATTATTGTCTCATTGGAAATACAGATTTTTAACAAACTTTATTTTTGAAATTTTGATGATTTTTATTAGAACCTTGGTTATGGGTAAATTTTGTAAATTTATTAGTTTATTATTATACAACAATGTTCAGGGCCGGCCCGTGGCTCACTCGGTAGAGTGCGGTGCTGATAACACCAAGGCCATGGGTTCGGATCCCATATAGGGATGGCCGGTTCGCTCACTGGCTGAGCGTGGTGCTGACAACACCAGGTCAAGGGTTAAGATCCCCTTACCGGTCATCTTTAAAAAAAAAAAAAAAAAAACAATGTTCAAATGCTGTATAAATATAAATTGGGCTTAAAGGCAAGTAAAATCTTGGTCAAAGGATTTCAGAGATGAAATGATCTGTTCAGTTTTCAAGAATGGACAAGTATTTTTATAGTGGAACCAAAATTTTAGAGCATGTAATTAAGTGTGTAATTTCAACTCTAAATTCTGTTCATATATTTTATTATTTTGGCTGGTTGGTACTATATCTTTTATTTTAATGTTTGTATTAATGCAGAAGATTCTGCTAAGAACATTAAAAATTAAATGGAGAGGCAAGATTTCCTAAAATCAAGTCCTAAAATATAGCCAATGTGCATTTGTGAAGTGATGCTTAGTGCAACACAGTTCTTGTTTCAGACTTCCATTTGTGTAGAGGAACTGTTCTGGTTATCAGGTTCTGTGTAACAAACTCTTTAAAAATTTTTTTTACTCTTTTTCGTGTTAAAACGTGTATAACATAAAGTTTATCACGTTAGTCATTTTTAAGTGTACAGTTTTGTGGCATTTGTGGCATTCACATTGTTGTGCAGTCATCACCACCATTCATCTCCAGAACTTTTTCATCTTTTCCAACTAAAATTCTGTACCCATTAAACATTAATTCCCCATTCTCTCCATCCCCCAGCCACTAACAACCACCATTCCTACTTTTTATCTCTATGAACTTGACTACTCTTAAATAAGGGAAATCATACAATATTTGTACTTTTGTGACTGGCTTATTTCACTTAGCATAATGTCTTCAAGGTTCATTCATATTTATTGTAGCATGTGTCAGAATTTCTTTCCTTTTTTTTTTTTTCCTTTTTGTCTTTTTTCGTGTCTGGCAATGGATTGCAACCCTCAGTGTCGCGCCTGGACTGGACCGGGACCTGCAACGGGATCGCAACCCTCGGTATCGCACCTGCATCTCGCTCAGCCAGTGAGCTGCCAGTCTGCATGTGGATCTCAACCCTTGGCTTGGTGTTGTCAGCACCACGCTCAGCCAGTGAGCAAACTGGCCATCCCTATATAGGATCCGAACCCGTAGCCTTGGTGTTATCAGCACCGCACTCTACTGAGTGAGCCACGGGCCGGCCCATTTCTTTCCTTTTTAAGGCTGAATAATACTTCATTGTATATGTATACCACATCTTGTTTCTCTATTCATCCATCAGTGGACACTTGGGTTGCTTTCTCCTTTTGGCTATTACGAGCAACTTTTCTTATCTCAACTTTTGTGGGTCAGGAATTTAGGCAGGATTTTATTCATATCTGCTTCACGTAGCTACTGGGCTTACTCAGTGGTATTCAACTGATGACTAGATGGGTCTAGAGGATCCACAGTGGCTTCACTTAAACACTTGATGCCTTGGTGGATACAGCTGACAGGCTGGACTCAATTGGGCTCCTTTGTCCTATCTATGATGTACTCTTAGGGCTTCTCCACATGGTCTCTCCAGCAGAGTAGGTAGACTCAGGGCTCCAAGACACCTTGGAGGAAGTTTCCAGTACTTGGTCCAGAATGGGCAGTGTCACTTCTACCTTTCTCTGTTGGTTAGAGTAGTTATAGCCCTACTTGCCAGCCACCAAATAAACAAACAAACAAACAAACAGAAAAACCAAATAAAGTAGTTTTATAGCCCAGTCCATATTCAAGGGGAGAAAAAAATTGATCCTGACTCTCAAGGAAGAAGTAGGAAAGCATTTGTAGCAGTCTTTAATCTGCTACAGGAGCTCTTGTGACAAGTAAAAGTATATTAACTCTGTCTACACTTTGTTTTTTTGTTTTGTTTTGTTTTTTAAAGATGACCGGTAAGGGGATTGCAACCCTTGCTGTGGTGTCGCCCACACTGCGCTCAGCCAGTGAGCGCACCAGCCATTCCTATATAGGATCCGAACCCACAGCGGGAGCGTCGCTGCACTCCCAGTGCCGCACTCTCCCGAGTGCACCACGGAGTCGGCCCCTCTACACTTTGTACTTATACATTTGAAAAACATTTCATCTCAAAAACAACAGTATGTATTTATAGCCAACTTGCTAGATTTGTAAATTTATTTAAATTTACAGTATTTACTATCAGAAAAAATATGTGGGAATATTTTTTTTTAATGTGCTTGTAAGGGAAAATTGACTTTATAAAGTTGTGTTTTTTCCTCTGTCCAAATTCTAATATAGGATCACATGTATTTATCATGTCTCCTCAATCTCTTTTAATTTAGATAGTCCTCCTACTTTTTGTGGTGGGGGAGGGCTTTCATGACATGACGTTTTGAAGCATTCATGCCATTTATCTTATAGGAGTTTCATAATCTGGTTTGCCCATTTCCTCATGCTTGGACTCAAGTTAAACTTTTTTTGGCAAGTGTACTATTCAAGTAGTGTTGTGCTCATATAATGTCATTATATGACATGTAATGTCACATTGTATTGGTTATGCTAAGTTTGATCACTGGGCCAACTCTCCATTATAAAGGTACATTTTCCCCATTTGCAATTAATAAATAATGTTTGAGGGATAGTTTGTAAGAGTAACTTGCTTTCCAACAATTTTTTCTGAATTGTTTTAGCATCCACTTTGGTGGTTATAAAATGTTGGCTGTGTTAAATTTTTTTTTTTCAAGTATACGTTGTCTGCAAGGCTTTTTAGATTCTGTCATTTCTTCTACA